TATACTGTAAGCTTCTTGAGTTCAGTATCACATTTTTTAATATGAAATGAAACACGGACAAAAATGTATTTATAGCTGGGGAGTGGAGAGTTAGTAGTAGTGGTAGTTATTACCTTTTTTTCTAAAATGGAGGTAGCATTTACTTTATAGGTAAGATGCTCAAATATTTTAGGGTAGTAATTAGCTTTTAAGCTAACAACGATAACAATAATATTAACTAACATTTATATAGCACTTCTATGTGCCAAGTACTGTGCTAAATGCTTTATAATTATGATCTCATTTGATCCTCACAACAACCTTGGGAGGTAGATGCTATAGTAATCTCCGTTTTACAGAAGAGAAAATAGAAATAAGCAGGGATTAAGTGACTTGTTCAAAATCACACGGTTAGTAAGTATTTAAGGCCATATTTGAATGCAGGTCTTTCTGACTCCAGGCCTAGCCATCTAGCCACTACATCACCTAGCTGTCTCTCTTACCTGGAAGTAACTTTGAATCAACTTTCTAAGCAACATCTAAGCAAGAAAGAAATGATTAATGTCAACTTGGAGGAAGGTATTATACTTAGTCCTGACCCTGGACCTGTTCTGTTCAACATTTCTGTCAATGACTTGTATGAATACATAGTAGTTTGACTTACCAATTCTCAGATAACAGGAAGAGCTAGAAGAAGTAATTAATATGATGGAGAGGCTGCATGGTGTAGTGAACACAGCACTGGATTTGGAGTCTGGGGACCTGAATTTAAATCACAGCTCTTCTACTTAATCATCTGTGTGACCTTGGACAACTCACCTTACCTCTCTGGGTCTCAGTTTCCTGATCTGTAAAATAAGGGGAGTGGGTCTAGGTCACCTCTAGAGTTCATTCTAATTCTAAACATATGATCTATGATTCTGTGATTGTAGACTCTAGTTGGTGGGTAACAGAAATCACAGTAACTAGATGTATATAGTTCACAAAATGAAGCTGTTGTACTAGCTGATTTTCAAGAAAGATCTCTTACATTTCTACAAGCACAACAGTCTTACTATTTTAATAGGCTGGAAAGATGGACAGAAATTCAATTCAACATGCATTTATTATGTGCTATACACTGAGAAAAAAACCCCAAAATTAAATAAAATAAAATATTTAATAGGTATAAACACCATAAAATAGCATGGGAGAGAACTGGCTTGACATATGCATATGGAAAAACAAACACACATACAAAAAACCCTGGGGCTTTTAATCTATCTTGAACTCAGTATGAGTCAGAAACATGCAATAGCTACCAAAAAACCTAACCCTTCTGAAGGGTTTGTATAGAAGGCTGAAAGCCTGTCATGCTGGTTAGCAATACATTACAAAGTGCTCTAAAACTCCTAGCTTGGAAAGAATGCAGTTTGCAGTAAGAGGAAACACTTCCAAACAAGGCTGACTATGAGTAGTGTTGTTTGGCCTTCAGAAGGTTTATATTGAAATGTACTTGGCCTCAAAACTATTTTATTTTAATATCCCTTGTGAGAAAAGTTATAAACATAAGGCAAATGTCTTGAATCCTTGACAGTGTTGGTGAGATATGTTAATACAAAGTTTGACAAGGGCTGCTCTGGGAAGCCAGCCAGCCTCAGGTTATTATTTACAGACCACCTTACATACCCTTGTAGGGAGAAGGGAAAAGGAAGAGAATAAGCATTTATAAAAGACATACTATGTGCCAGGCACTGTACTAAGTGCTTTCTTTCTTTCTTTTTTTTTTTTTTACAAATCTTATCTCAGTTGAGCTTCATAACTCTTCAAGGTAGCTGCTATTATTGTCCTCTTTTTACAGTTGAGGAAATTGAGGCAAACAGGTTAAGTTATTTGCCCAGATTACACAGCTACTAAATGTCTAAGGGCACATTTGAACTCAGGTCTTTTTGACTCCAGGCCCAGGACACTATCCACTACACATCACCAGCTGCCTTATAGGTTGATCTTATGAAATCTAGGCCTAAAAAAAAGTTTACCAGTATATCAAGTTTTCAGCAGCCCTTCCCATATCTTCAGGAACTTCAGTGCAATGATATAGCCTATGGGTAATACAGTTCCCAGACTTTGTATCCTCTCACTTTTTTGGATTACATTTCTACTTGTCCAAAAGGCCTTATTTCTTTTAGGTTTTAGGCCTATGCTGATTTAAAAAGCTCTCTTTTACACATCTGTCAGATGGACTGAATGTCATAGGATCAAAGATTTAGAGTTAGAAGCTCAGAGGTCACCTTGTTCAAATCCCTCATTTTTCAGAGGAAAACACTGAGTCATAAAGGTTCACTGACTTGCCCAAGGTCATACACAAGTATACAGTGTCAGAGCCAAGATTCAAACCCAAACCCTCTAATTCCTGACCCAGGACACTTGCTATGCTGCATGATGACATCACAGAAACATTTATGATAGGGACAAACAGGCTACAATCCATTACCAGTGATGACAGTGTAGAAGTGACAAGAAAGATATGGAACAAGAACAGATAAGGCTGGAAAAGGAGGTGATATACATTAATTTAATGAGAGTGAGTGATACCCAATGGACAGCCAGTGAATCTATTGATTAGTTAAAATCATAAACATTTATTAAATGCTTACTACGTGCCACACACTGCAGTAAGCAAGGACAATATAAAGAAAGTAAAAACATGCCCCCTGCCCTCAAGAAGCATACATTCTAATGGTTGAGACAACATATAAACAACGATTTACTCATAAGATATATACAGTATAAATAGGAGGTAATCTCAAGAGGAAGAGAGTAGCAATGGATAGAACTGAGAAGATTAATAACTTAGAGATGAGCCTCTAATAGATAACATTAATAGAGTGCTTTAAGGATTATAAGATGCTTTATGTATCTTGATCATCACAACAACCCTGGGAGGTAGGTGCTATCATTCCAATTTTAGATGAGGAAATTAATGCAGATGGAGATTAAATGACTTGTCCAGGATCACAAAGCTATTAAGTATCTAAGGCAGGATTCAAATTTAGGTTTTCTTGACTCCAAGAACCTTTTACACAAAACTCCACCCAGCTGCCAAAACAAGACTGGATGTATCTGTCACTTTTGCAGGATTTATGTGAAGCATTATGATACAGAAAAACCCCTGGGTCTTACATTGGAGGACTAGGGTCTGAATTCTGTTTCTCCTATCTGTGTGACTCTGGGAAAGCCACTTCTCTGGGCCTCAGTTTCTGTGTAACACAATTGAGCTGGGTCAGATGGTATAAGGTCCCTTCCAGTTCTCTATCTATCTATGATCCTAAGATCCTATCTATGATCTCTATGTATGATCCTAAGAACAAGAATCACACAGGATGAGAAGGCATGGATAGATTTCTGTTTTCAGCACTGGAGGGAAAAAAAATGAAATCACAGATCCACTGAAGCATCTATATTGCTTCAATAAAAGGCCTTTTATTTTGTTTTGTTGTTATTTTGTTTATCTGTTCATCTTTACTTGCCAAAGGAAATTCAGGAATCAGAAAACAAGTAGAAGAAATTTTTTGATTTTGGAGTGATCAAGATATTATACTAGACTCAAATGGCTGGCTCAGAAGTAAATCTGTTTAGAGTGATGTGGGTTCTTGTCTTCCTATCCCTACCACCTAATGGCCCCTGCTCCTTGAGGAAGGTTACATGAGGCTAACAATGGTCTAAAATATGGAGCTCCTGGGGATAGAAAAACCTGACAAAAGACATGACCCAGGGCTTTTTCTGCATCATAATGCCTCACATAAATCCTGCAAAAGTGACATACCCAGTCTTGTTTTGGCAGCTGAGTGGAGTTGTGGATAAAGGATCATAAAGGGCTATATACTTGGAGACAAGAAAACTTAAGCTTGAATCCTGCCTCAGACACTTAATAGCCTTGTGATCCTGGACAAGTCATTAGTTTCGTATCTGTGTCCATTTATCTCTAGTTCTAGGATCTGGTGTCTAATCTGGCTAAGGATCTCTGCCCCAACTTTATCTTCACCATTGTCCTATCCTTCCCTCTGCCTCAAGATTCCCAGGCACCTATTTGGGTTTTCTGACCCATGTGATCAGCCAGTCAACAACAATTTATTTATATATTTATGTAATAGTGAATAATATAAAACATATTTATATAATATAAAATACAATATAATTTATATAATAGATTTTATACATACATACATGCAAATATTTTGGTTGGTTTTTCATGATTTTTCTTACCCTAATCTTCCCTTTCTCTAAATATCGGAACATATCCCAGTGTTTTCATATTATTTGTATATATGAAGTTTCAAACAAATAAGTGTGCCACTGAAATTCATCCTCACTATCATTATGGGTAACTCTCTAAGTTCATATCTCTCTCCCATGGCCAAATCCAAGAATTCCAAAAGTATAGCACACCACACATGAGACTGGGTAAAAGCCAGAAAAAAATGTGTCACAGGAAGCTTTCCCCCCCCTTGGATATCTTATTAATTGTGATGCTGTATCATAACTGAAAGCTCAATTCTTTGGGGAATTCTGAAGCCAGGATTTCAGTAGGCAAGGAGTCTATCTATTGGGTCATTTGCAGCTGTGCCAACAACACAATGATCTTTAAAAATAGACCCCTTTAGCAAGTAAAGCAAATTCCTCTGAAGTTCAACACTGAGCACACAGTTTCTGGGAAGCTCTAAGAGCTGTCTTTCCTACTCTCCTGGAAGATTAACTCCTACTTAAAAGGAAAAGTATCAGAGGGAGAATACACAGGGATATAAATCAAAGGCCTCCAGTGTGCCCAGATAAAGAACAGAATGTCATTGCCAGAAATACTAAACAAACCAATAAGAAAGACTCACAGAAATTTGCCCTGTTCAGCTGCACTGCAGCTAAGTTTTGCCTTCTGTTCAACTCATTTAAAAATCAGCTTAGGAAACTGTATCATAGATAGACGTATGTGTAGGGGGTATGGGTAGTATGCATGTGCCCTTTGCTTTTTTAACAATCTCTCTCACCATTGTGCTCAGGTCTTGAAGAGGCAATGGCAGCATGGGCAATTGAGAGTGCTGAGTCTGCGGCTTCTTCTATGGAAGGATTTTGATCCTGGGTGATGTGATGTGCCTGTCATCATGAACAGAGGGAACAGTTATGTTTATATGACATAACTTTTAAAAGATATGACAGTCCTTACAGAGATAAGCATAAAGCCTTAAGATTCACACATTTAGAACTGAAAGGAACTTGGAGCTCTCCTATACCAACTTCGTTATTTTACAGATTAGGAAATACATTTAGAGTGGTTAAGCAAATTGACCAATCTCATATCTTGTAGGTGCCAGAGGTGATATTTGAACTCAATCTTTCCTGAGTCCAAATTCAACATTCTTTCCCCCTATACTACACTTACCATACTGCTTCTTTATTATGAAGACCTATTGTGTATAGTACACTGTGGTTCATTCTATGGGTGATACAAGGAAACACAAAACAATAATGATAACAATAAAGTTGCATTAAATTTTTCCAAGTATTTTACATACATTTTCTAATTTGAACTTGTTATCCCCATTTTATGGGTGAGCAAAACAAGGCTTAGAGACCTTAAGAGACTTACTGATCATTACACAGTCAATAAATGTCTGAGACAGGTCTTTCTGACTTTGAATCCAATACTCTATCCATTGACACATTGTCTTAGTTTTTGTCCTCAAAGAACTTACAATGTAATGGGAAAATAAAGCAAAATAATATGTGATAAGAGTAGAGTTGAAAACAATTCAAGGTAACAATACAAGAGATGTCGCAGGAGCAAATGATTAATTGTCAATTGAATAGGTAATTAATAAAATCACTGGAATAAATTGAGAGGAATAAGAAATCACTGTGGCTGGAGTAGTATTGGAAGGCTTCATGTAAAAAAGGACAAACTACCACTAGCTCATCTGGGTAGAAGGGTAGTGGAAAAAAAGGAGGGCTATTCCAAGTTAGATAACTAAAGTGAGCAGAGGCATGGTGAATGGTGATTTTTACATATAAGAGGTGGTTAAAAAATGAAAACCAGAAAGATCCCGTGGACAGAGAGCAGGCTTTTTCAAAGTCAGGAAGACTAAGGTTCAAGTTCTACATCTGGAACATGCCAGGTGCACAGAGGTAGGCAAATCATGTAATCTCTCAGTACCCTAGACAACTATCTTAGACTCTAAAGTTGTAGAACAGGGGCAAATTTACATCGTTGAGGTAGCTTTCTTGCTGGAAGATTCCAGCTTATATCAATGATATCACAATCCTGGTCGCCTTCAAATAGTTATTGAACTATGAATGAAGACTAACCCCATCATGACCAAGAGCACATATTTTTGAGATTGGCACAAGTCAAGACATCACTGGTGATGTCACTGGGGTCTGCTTCGAAAATGAAGTATGACCAATAACAACAAATTGGGTAAGGAAAGCAGTTTATGGCCTTGGAACACAGGATTTTAGGATTTAGAGCTGGAATGTATTTTAGAAATCATGTAATCCAATCTTCTCATTTTGCAGGTAAGTAATCTGAAACCCAGAGAAATTACATGATTTGCCCAAGAATACTATAAGCAGAATGTAAAAGAACTGGGATTTAAACCCAAGTCTTCTGACTCCAAATCTAGTCTTTCCTATACTAGAGTATTTTCTCGTTTTAGTTGACTAGTTCAAGAATCCATCAACTCCACACATTGCTGGCATAACCACTGTGTTACACTCAGCTGAGTCAATTGTCTCAGATTGTCAGGAATACAAAGCCAGAGTTAATAGCTTGTAAATGAGCTTAAAATACCTTTAAAATTAAGAATGTCTTTAATAGTAATAGCTAACATTTACATAACGCTTTAATGTTTGAAAAATACTAAATAGATGTGTACATATGTACACACATGTGCATATATGTACATACCCACACACATATATGATTCTTACAACAACACTGGAAAGTAGATTGCTATTATTATCCCCATTTTACAGCCTCACTTAAGTAAAGAGGCACTAAGTGACTTCTCCAAGATCAACGGGATAGGTAGTATCTAATGAGGAATGTGAATATAGGTTTTCCTAACTCCAAATCTACCACCAAATTGCCACTTGGAAGTGTTGTTTTTAACATCTCTCCCATAAATGCTAATAGTAGATTTTACACAATATACTATACAAAACAGGCTTTCATAATCTGGTGGTATGACACAGATAAATAGATAAGATAGATACATCTGGATCCCTTTATTATTTTAGACAACAGAGTGTAAACTAAATCCGTAACTTCAAGGACCCCAAATTAGTTAAGGGTCTTTACTTGACCTGAAAAGGCAAGTCTTCAGAAAAGACTTCTGAAATTCATGATTGATACTAAACTTTCAAGGATCAAAATAAAGCTTAGTTACAAAGTGTCAAATGATAATATGCTTGTCATTTGGGGAAAATAAAAACTGCTTTAAAAGAGAATGAAAAATTTGGAGTAAATTAAGTGAGTTATATTTGAGTTGTGCTTTTCTTCAGGAGAGATTTTTGTTTGAGTAACAGCTGTCATTCTTGTAGCAAAAGGTAAAGACTGGTATATTTAGTTCAATCTGGGGATTTAAAAATCTTCAGTGCACAAAATCTGCACAGGCATCCTCTTGCCTACCAATTAAGATACAAACTCCTTTGCCTGGTGTACAAGAACCTTCATAAGGTACTGCTATCATTTCCAGGGGTATCTCACACTCACTCTCTTTCCATACTCTGACCAAATGAAGTTTTGGGGGAGCACTCAAATACATGCTTCCTCTTCTGTCTCCTTGCTTTCGCTCAGGCTGTTCCATATGCTTAGAATGACTTCTCCTTTTTACCTTCGCCATTCCTACCCTACCCTTGCAAACTCAGTTCAAATGTTGTCTCCTCCATGAAGTCTTTTCTTATTCATAACTTAGGTGACAACTTTCCCCATTCAGACTTAGAGCACTTTATTTTGCATTTGTCTAATGCACTATCATTGCATGCCAGATGTACTTGCGTATAGGCCATTATAACTATATAAAAGACTTTTTTTCATATGTTTTTGTTGATTTCTTGTTTCTTACATCATTATCCCAAGCATCTCTGCCTCTCACCCTCCCAGAGAGCCATCCCAAATAACCAATACTATTTTTTAGAAAGGAAAAAAAATCAGCATAACTGATTGACACATTGAAAAAGCCATTGAAAAAAAATGTGTAATGTGTAACACCTGTGGTCCTCTGAGCTCCACAAAGGTGTATGTTAGGGGTGTACTCTCATATCTTTTAATTCCAGTCTTGCTTGATCTTTATAATTCTATTACATTCACTTTTGAACTTTTCAGTGTGTATTGTTCTTTCCAGCTACATTGTTGTAATCACTAGGAATATTGTTTTCTTGGTTGTGCTCAATTCACTCTGTATCAGTTCATCCAGATCTTTACATGCTCCTCAGAATTCATCATACAGCACAGTAATAATATTCCACTACATTCATGAACCACAATTTGTTTAGCCATTCCTCAAGTGATGGACATCTACTTTGTTTCCAATTCTTTGCTAGTACAAAAAATGCTGTTACAAATATTTTGGTGTATATGAGGACTCTCTTCTTCTTAATGGCTGCCTCAGGGTATAAGCACAGTAATAGAGTCTCTGGTTCAAAGGGCATGGGCATTTTAGCTACTTTGTTTACAGAATTCTAAACTCCTTTCCAAAATGGTTGTGCCATTTCACAGTTTCACCAACAATGTATTACTGTGCCTGTTATTCCACAACCCTTCCAGTATTGGTTACTGACATTTTTGTCATTTTTGCCAATTTGCAGAGTGTGACATGAACCCTCGGAGGTGTTTTGTTTTGTATTTCTCTTATTAGTGATTTGGAACATTTTTTCATGTGATTTTGAATACTTTACAATTCTTCTTCTGAGAACTTTTTATTCACATCCTTTGACCACTTATCTGCTGGGAAATGGGTAATAGTAATATACATATATATGTATGTATAAATATAAATTGTTGATATATCTTGGATACCAAACCTTAATCAGAGAAATCTGACATAGAGACTTTTTTTTTCCCACTTGACCACTTCCCTTCTTATCCTAGGCACATTAATTTTGTATATGCAGAAATTTTTCATTTTCATGTAATCAAAGTTACTTATTTTATATTTTGTAATTGCCTCTATCTCTTGTTTGGTTAAGAACACATCTCCTACCCATAGGTGTGAGAAGTATATGATCTGTTTCTCTTTTAATTTTTTTCATACTATGACCTTTAAATATTAAGGTCAAATATCTATTTAGAATGTGTTATGCAAGGTGGTATAGGGTGTTGGTCTAACTTCTGCCAGACTGCTTTCCAGTTTTCCTAGCAGTTTTCATCAAATAAGGTGTTTTAGTCTAGGTAATTTATGTTTGCCATCTTATCAAACACTGGATCATTGAATTACATTATTTCTGATTCTTTCCTGTCTAGTCCATTTAACTGATCTATCCTTCTATTTTTAAACCAGTTACAGATAGTTTTGATGACTACTGCTTTATAATATAGTTTGAGGTCTGGAGGTGCTATTCTCCTTTTATCTCTACTTCCTTTCACCATCTCCCTTGATATTCTAGATATTTTGTCTTTCCAAATGAATTATTATTTTATTCTATAAAGTATCCCTTTGGTAATTTGATCAGTATAGGATTAAAAGTGTAAATTAATTTTGGAAGTATTGTCATTTTTATTATATTGGCACAGCCTAGCCGTGAGCACTGAATATTCCTCTAGCTTTTTTTTGGGAATGCTTCCCCAATATTTCTTTTTAAATTTTTTTTTATTATTTTATTTTTTCCTCTAACTTTTAAAGTTGTTCTTTATTTAAGGAGCACTTTGTAACTGAATCTACAAGAGTCTCTTCTGTGCGTTGGTAGGATGATCCCAAGATATTTTATGCATTTTGTAGTTATTTGGAATGGAATTTCCCTTTCTAATTTTGCTTCTTGGGTTATGTAATTATGATATAAAAAGCTGTTAATATTTGGAGATTTATTTTGTAGCCTGAAAATAATATAATATTAGTGTAACACTGAGTTCATTGAAATAAGTTTCTATGTTGGATTTT